TCTACAAAAAAGAAAAATTTAGCTACGTCAAAATTTTCATTTTCTTCGTTTTCTTTATTTTTTATTTTTTTCTTTTCAGATAAAAGGGGTGGTTGTAAAGTATTCAACAGAATAACATTTTCTTACTTGTTCATAAAAGAATTTGTAACCAAATGATCGCAGATCGGTTCAGACCGCTTTTGGAATAACGAAATATCCGCATATTCGGTAAAATTCACAAAATTAAATCCACAAGCAAGAAAGACATAACATATGATTACATCGTTATTTCATTGCGACAAAAAGTGACCATGTCAGTCCACGACATACTCCGAAACTAATAATAGATATCAATACTAAAAATTCTTGCCTGTTCCACATTTGACGTATTAAAAAGTACGTGGTTTCGAAAATTGCAAAACCTATTAAATATAGCCTCGACGCCGAATATGGACGATATTCCGGAATTTCTTAAAACAGCAGAGAACCTGTGAGAAGTCATATATTGTCCGAGGTTGTCGCTATCAATTGCGAATAATTCCCGCATAAATAGTCTAGAGAGCATGGCGGGACTATGAACATTTCCATAAATTCCGATGGATGTCTGTGAAATAAAACAACTTTCATATCCTTATCAAAATATGTCTCGACAAAGAAGTGCTAGCTGACATCGTTCTAAGTGACGTTCTTCAAAGACATAATTTTGCTTTTGCAATTATCGTTTCCGCTTTGGTAGTGAGCCCAGATACTGTGAGCAACCGTGTAATTTCAAAAAAAATGAAACGTCAAATTAGGAAACGCTGTTATAATGTCGGTTTGTAACGCGATTTAGATAATTGAAGCAGTCATCTCTTTGTATTCGAGAAAGGAAACAAAGAAAATTTCTTAGTAGATAGCGATTCCAAACTTTCGTCCGATGTTATTTTAACAGTTGTCACCGGTTCATCCATTTCCATTTGCGGCAAAAAGCTTTTTCATTTTAAACTCGGTTTGCATCGAGAATTTCTTTTCCCCTTTATTTATTCCAACCTATAATTGTTACTGATTTCTTGTATAAATATGGTTTGTTATCGGCTCACAAGTTTGCTTGTAAGAGCTGCCTGTTGTTCTTATAATTTACCGCCACCAAGCTGAGAAATGCACCAACCTCCTGGAAGAATTTCTTTCTATATTTTCGCAACCAGACTACAATAAACCGTTATTTCCCGTGGAGGTGTAACAGTAGGACCACTAACTTTTTCTAAACTGAGAAAACTAAGACCCATTAAGTTCACAATTGGACACGGCATTTAATTTCCTGATAATATCGCCTAATATGTAAACATTTAAGCTCCCCGTGCGTTTCTTCTTTGCTTCTCCAAAAAAGAATCGAGCGATTGACTTCGACGCGATGATAAATCTTCTCACACTTCATTGGTTCTTTGAGGCCTTTTTAACTGGCAGCGCTTGATCTCTGGCTGTTCTTGTACCTAAGAAAACGCACCCTAAAGTTCGCTTTGGTTCGATTGCATAAACAAAGCCTTATCGAAAATACACTTGTTAGATGAATCTAGTTGACTATTGAAGATGTTGGAATACAGATATTAGTTAACGAAATTCATTTTATATTAAAAAATTCCAAATATTTTGGGTGAAGAGAACTTGGTTCTTTACTATAGGCCTCTTTACAATTTTTTTTTATAAATACCGATTATAACAATTTTAAATTGTTTTTATATAGACTCACTTTCCATCCACCTCTGCTAACAATTTTATAAAAAAGAAAATGTTGCCCTATTTTTACACCGAAATAGAAAAAAAGCATGAACTGTGCTAAGAGATGCAAAAGAAAAATGTTGTTGCTTCAGTTACCATCGCTCATATTAAAATAATTTGTTTTGAAATGTTTACGCGAGAGCGTAATAGTACAGCTAGTAATGATTAAAGCTTTTAATTAAAAAATAAAAAAACTAGCCCTACTATATACATCGCGGTTGCACTAACAAGTCAAAAGCACTAGGATCCCCATAAGGCAAATGTATATACAACCACTAGCGCTAGTTTCTGGGAAAATCCCAAACAACTGCTCTTGCGCTGGCAGAATTCAAAATCAAGAGATCTAACATAGTTCGCAAACAAAGCGCATTTGAAAATAACTGCAAGTTCCTTACGAACCTTCTCGAATAACGAATACTCTGAGTAGATATAAACACAAGAAAATGTGAAAATAGATTTATGAAACGGTCCCAGAAAATTGCGGAAACTTACCTCTTCATGTCGATATCTATCTTAATTCTTTTCCCTAATTCTCCTGATGGCAAATATGAGACAATTAACTTCAAATATAGCAAAAACGTCGCAAGTTCACATGCGTAGGGTGAAATTAAAATTGAGTCGAACCTATCGAACAACACGTCCTCAGTACAACGTAAGTTAAGAACTGAAAAGTAAACAGTCAAGCTCATCCAATGCTATAGAGTGCATGTAGATTTTTCTATTTTTTTTGTGACTTTCCTAAGGTAAAGGTGGTGAGCCAAATGTAAGTTTCTTATATGCTTTATGTAGAGTTTTGAATGCTTCTTTTTCTTCTTCTTCATCTATTCACAACTCCTGAAAATTTGCTGTGATGTATAAAAATCTTCATGTTTTGAATAGTTAATCGAACTTGAACTCTGACGGTTCAATTATTTCAATAAAGTTTTTCAATCTTCAAACAAATTCCGGATTCTGATGCTAAGAGGAAAGTTTTCTTTGAATAATGCAAAGGAATTTTTGTCTTAGAGGTGGTTGAAAAATGATATTTTCTCAACATCATGATCAAACCGATCTGCGTTTGCAATTTGCCGAAAAGCATACCAAAGCAATTGCGAGGTCCTTCACCAAAAGGTAGAAAAGAAAATGCAGGATGTTGTTGCGCTATTGCAGCGGAAGAAAAACGGTCTGGATTAAATAGTTCAGGTTCCTTAAAATATTCAGGATCGTTTTGTATAGCATCGATGGGTATAATTACACGCAATCCTTTTTCGAGGATCAAATCACTATTTGCCAAACGATAATCGTTCACACAAACTCGTGGCAATAGAGGAACAACCGGATATTTGCGCAGTGTTTCTAAAATGGAATGCAAAAGATTAAATATCTGAAGCTAATGTATCCCATCAGAATTACCGTTGAAAACTTGTTCCATATAAGTCATTTCCTTTAAGCTCTCATAGGTTATTTGAGAGTTGTATTTTTCTAATACTGCCAAGATTTCTTCCCGTAGTTTCCTTTGAATATCCGGATTTAAAGCCAGTTCATACAAACAAAACGACATTGTCGCGGAAGAAGTATCAAATCCGGCCACAAAGAAAACCATTGCCTGAGCACATGCTTGCTCAAAAGTTAAACCACTGGCCATATCATCTTTTTCTATGCGTTGGCCTTGTTTTAACAGCTTCTCCCTTTTCTCCATCAGCTCAATAAGTAAATCCACAAAATCATTACGTTTTATTTGACTTTCTCTCCTATGTTTTATTGTTTCCTTAACAACACTCATAAAAAATTTACTAGTGTCGTTACGGAAAGCTTTTAATCTTAATCGGCGCGCCAAATCGGGATTACATATCATGAAGCTTTGAACAAGCAAGGAATGGCGAGGCTGTTCGAATATCTTGCGACCCATTTCACGAAATTCTGCCCTCGGTTCTCCTAGGCTATTGCACTCAATGCCAAATGCGCACGTTCCAATCACGTCTGTTGTGAAACGAGCACACAAATCCTCCACTTCAACTTGATTCGCTCCATTATTGACTATAATATCGCAAGCCTGCTCCAATTTTTCGGCTACTTTAACGATAGAAGATAACATGAATTTCACTTTACCGCTGGTAAAAACCGCCGACATCTTTTGCCTGAGCATTCGCCAAGCATCACCATCTAAAAACAACAAATTTCCAGTTAGAGGATCATCACGTTCATTATGAAAGAGACCCCGATCGCTGAAGTATTGAAAATCCTTAATCAATACATTTTTAATTAAATCCAAATCCATAACGATCACTGCCTTTGTTAAAAAAGCGTAAAAACCAGCAAGTGGTGAGGAATCTTTAAATTTTTTATACACTCTTCGATTGATTTCAGTTCCATGACAAGTGTATCCTAATCCTTTTATATTTCCCAAGAAAAACAAAGGCTTTTCATGAGGCACTCCGAGTTTGGACCAGTAGCTGTATAATTTCTTCAGTTTAAGGTAAACGGCCAGACATGTAACAACCAGTAATGTAATAAGCAATGTAATGAACATAGTGAATACGACAATTTTAAAATAAAAGCAAACTCGTAAGGAAACTTCTCTGATACTGTTTAAAATGAATCAATTGACAGCCACTTTTATTTGTCTTAATTAGATGGTTGAGTTAGTTAAGTGTTA